CAAGGATTCTTGTGAGAATGTCTACGTCTAATCACTCTGTCTTCTGTCGCCAAAACTTGACTTCAGTCACTTCCCACCTTCTCTCATGCATTAAATGCTTATTTGTGGCCAGTGGGTTTGCCGCATTAAACAGGCACTACTTCATTAAATGAAGCATGGGTCCCTGCTATCACGTGATGATCTGACTTTAATATTTCTGGCCGCGATTTTGCTCGGCCTCGGCCTCAGCCTGCAATCGAGGCCGAGATGAACATGCCTTAGCGTTTTTCTTTTGTCTTCAAGAAGGCAAAGCACCTTGGCGAAACGCTGCGTTTTAGCTTCTCGAGAAAGTGCTAGGGTCGAGAAAAAGGGCTTCTTCGGCCAGTTCATGGCCGTGATTTATTAGGCACAAACAGGAAGTATCAACAAAAAGCAACAACCAAATGGATATTTTTACCTCATCTTTTCTGTACTTTTCCATTGGAATAGAACCTGTGGTATGCACAATTGTGGATTTCGCCCTATATTAGACTTGTTTCTTTTACTTTTATCCTGCATGAAAAAAGTAAATCATAACCTAATATCAACTTAGTGAACCCATATAAGGTATCTATAAATAAACCAAAGCATACATTAGCCAGTCATAACAATATTATTTTAAATTGAGTTTTTACCTGCCATGTAGGCTGCAACCAATGATCAACCAGTTTAGACCAAACATCTTGAGATATCCCTAATGGGCAATGAGTGTATCTATCACCAGTAGTCTTGTATTTCTTAAAAACGCTATTTCTCAATGAGGACATCCAATCGGAATATCACAATTTAATATGTTGTTCGAATACCTCCCTCATCTCTTCTTTTGAGCATGTGTGTTTATATCATGTTGCGTTAAAGCAATCATACAGTAAATCCATTTGAGTTGATGGAAATGTTTTAAATGTTGGCCATGCTCCATCGATAGCCTGATAAAAAAGCACTCCTATAGTTCACACAGCTCCAGTGGTTATAATCCTGAAAATTTAAACCAAATTTAAATAAATAAATAAAAATGAATCTACACAAGAAATGGCTAACTTTGCAGGCCTTATACATTACCTTCCTCTACATATTACAATTGGAGTGCCGTTTCCATCTTTACCCTTAGCCTTCCCTCTACCTTTTTTTATTCCAATAGTTGAACCTAATAAAAAAAATACAAATATTTGAATTACTGGGGAACTTCTACTACAACCAATTTTTCAGTGCGAATCAATGAGGAAATCAATGAAAAACGTGACAAGAATAAAATAAAGAAAAGAATAAGCAAGTGCAATGTTAATGTATATCATGTATGGCTTTTCAAGTGTCATGCCTGTTGCAAATCAGTAAGTATGAGAAGGAGGTGGAGGAGATGACACGACAAGACAAGAATTTGTGGCTGCCATTAGAAGGTAAGTAAATGAGATAGATCATCCCTTAAGCAAAATTTTCAGAGAATCTTTGTTCATTATTTATTTATTTATATAATCAGTCTTAACTGTGCTTTTCTCTTAATTAAATTTTCAAGAAAAGTAGTGGCTTTTCTAGGGGAGCGTCCTTTAAAGATGTGTGTTTATATATTTTAAACCTCATATATATATGTATAAAAAAAATTACCTTTTTCTTGGATTTATAGCGTACAAATTTGGATGTTAGCTTTTTCTTGGATTTTTGGCCGCTTAATCAGCCCAAAAAAAGAGTAGGGCCGAGGAAACACGCCCAAAACTTACCAATATTAGTTTTACCTTACCCTAACAGTTTACATTGGTATTCAACCTTCAACAGCAGCAAAAAGATTAAAAGATAAAAAGACCTCCATAACTTCACACGCTGAAACCCTCTCCACAATATTTCCTACAATCCCAAGGGCCAAAGCTATAGTTCGATGCAGTTACAGAGGCTTAGAAACTATACGAACTATGAGCATTTTGCATTTGAAGTCTTCGATGGTTCCATGGCTTAGTCTTTGATCTTCCAGGTGTGTGTAAAAGTTTGAATTCAATCTACTTTTCTAATATAAAAACATATTTGTCCAGTATCTTCCAGGTGTGTGCCTTTGTTTGCTTTGGTTTATTATATATGAAGTATAAATCTAATGAATTTGAGTGCTGTACAAGGTTTTGACCAAAATTTAGCGTTGGTGTTGCATATGAATTTGTCTCTAATCACTTTTGTTTTCAAATCAGAATTCTGTTCGGTTATTGGCAGTAGAGGGTTGGGCTAGATCAGGATTCTGTTCGGTTATTTCATATCAGGATTCTGTTTTCAGATCAAGATTGTGTGACCCATATTCTTCCTGTCATTGTTAATTTTTCACAGGTATATCATATTTTTGAATGGTATTCCAGACTATAGCCAGCGCCTTTATTGTTTGTTGATGTGCTCTTGCCAATATACATGTCAACTTGCTTTTGACCAGGATAAGTCTTGGCGCGTTCGTTATATGGTTGCAAATCAATTATATGAGCTGTGTGAAGCTGTTGGTCCAGAAGCTACAAGGTAATCATTTTTTTTTGTGGCTTGGCTCTTATTTTGAATGTTGTATTAGTTGGGTTTTGTAATTTATAACTGAATCTACTGTCTGATCTCTCTCTCTCTCTCTCTCTCTCTCTCTCTCTCTCTTGAGGATAGTGATGAAAGTGATAGTGACAATAGTGACAATGATGGACATGATGTGGCTAGTATGGAGCAAGACGATGATATGTATGGTTTAATAGAAGAAGGTTGTTCACAAGATCCAAATGGAGATGCGCACAAGTTTTACAAATTGTTAGAAGAGGCAGAACAACCATTTTACACTGGTTGTGAGTCGTATTCTAATTTGTCTTTTGTTGTGAACTTGATGCATATCAAGCGTATCGGTACTATGAGCAATAAAGCATTTGGTATTTTGCTAACATTGTTGAAAAATGCATTTCCTTTTTGTGAGAAGTTACCTACAACCACCAACGGTGCAAAGAAAATTATTTCAGATTTAGGTCTTCATTATGATAAAATAGATGCATGCAATAATGATTGCATCATTTATTATAAGGAGCATGCAAATGCAACGCAGTGTCCTACATGTAAGCTTTCGAGATAGAAGAGACAAGGAAATGGTAGCAAAAAGAAAGGTAAAAGGGTTCCATGGAAGGTGCTTAGATATTTTCCACTCACACCAAGACTTCAAAGATTATTCATGTCATCCAAGACAGCTGTAGATATGAGGTGGCATTTTAAGGATTGTGTAAAAGATGGAGTGTTGAGGCATCCAGCAGATTCTGAGGCTTGGAAATCGTTTAATCAAATTCATGAGTCATTTGGTGTGGAACCTCGAAATGTAAGACTTGGTTTGGCAACAGATGGATTTAACCCTTTTGGGAACATGAATTTGCACTATAGTATTTGGCCGGTTCTCATTTACCCATATAATCTTCCTCCATGGATGTGCATGAAGGAGCCTTATGTTTTCATGACTTTACTTATTCCTGGGCCCAAGGGTCCATGCCATGACATCGATGCATACATGAGGCCATTGATAGATGAATTGCGAACATTGTGGGAAATTGGTGTTGAAACGTATGATATATATGCAAAGCAGAATTTTCAAATGAGAGCTGCACTTCTTTGGACTATCAATGATTATCCAACATATGCATACATGTCAGGTTGGAGTACGTCTGGGAAATTGGCATGCCCATATTGTGCATCTAATACTTCGCATCGTCGGTTATCTCATGGGTCTAAGACATGTTATTTGGGTCATAGAAGATTTTTACCGTCTGACCACGTATGGCATAATCAACGAAGCCAATTTGATAATACAAGGGAAAGAAGACTTGCACCTAAGAGACCATTTGGTGACGATGTGATAAATGCACTTAGTGAATTAAGAGAAATAACACATGGCAAGGATGGGAAAAAGCATACAATACTTGGGTTTGGAAAAGATCATAATTGGAAAAAACATTCGATATTTTTCCAATTGCCTTATTGGAAAACACTTTTGGTGCGTCACAATTTAGATGTCATGCACATTGAGAAAAATGTATTTGAGAATGTGATTGGCACAATGATGAGCATTGATGGTAAAACAAAAGATTCTTTGAATGCTCATCTTGATCTTCAAGAAATGGGTATAAGACAGAGGTATCATCCAGAAGAAGGAGATAATGGTAAGCTCTATTTTATCCCAAGCGATTATACATTGTCAAATGATGATAACAAAGCTTTATGTCAATGGTTAATGGAGTTGAAAGTTCCAGATGGGTACTTTGGAAATTTATCTCGATGTGTGAATGCTTCAGAACGTAATATTTCTGGTATGAAAACTCATGATTGTCATGTGTTCTTAGAGAGATTACTTCCATTTGTGGCGCGAGATTTATTGCCCAAAGATGTAAGTGAACCTTTAATTGAATTATCGTACTTTTTCAAGGAATTGTGTGCTAAAGTTTTAAGAGAAGATGACTTGAATCTTCTTGACAATCAAATTGTCATAACTTTATGCAAGTTGGAAAAAAAATATTCCCTCCTGCCTTTTTTGACATCATGATTCACCTAACTTGCCACTTGGCATGGGAGGCAAAGGTGGCCGGTCCAGTACAATTCAGGTCGATGTATCCTGTGGAAAGGTAATCTCAATTTTTAGATATTAATTTTATTCACGATTTGTTTAACTGCTAATGTATGATTCTCTAATTTCGGTATTTATGACACAATTAGGTATTTGCATAAACTAAAGACTTATGTTCGTAATAAGGCTCATCCAGAAGGGTCTATTGTCGAAGGTGTCTTGGGAGATGAATGTTTAATATTTTGCTCTCGCTGTTTGCATCAAGTTGAAACTAAGTTTAATAAAAGAGATAGAAACGACGATGGAGGTCAACCGTCATTTGATACATCTCCGTTATCTATTTTCTCAACACCTGGTCGAGCTTTTGGGAAAGGTGTACTTAGAGAAATGAGCATCGAACTTCATAAGGCTGCCACTCATTATGTCTTACAAAATTGTGATGAAGCTTTGCCATTTGTCGAGTAAGAATTCTTCAATACTATAAATTCTTTGTGTATTTAATATGTTACTATTTATTTAGATGTAATATGTCACTGTATTAATTTGAATATAATCATTTCTTATGTATGCAGGGAACATAAGAACATTCTAATCCAATCTAGTGTTTCTAAAAGGGTATGGATAATATTGTATTGGAAAAATTATTGACTATCATAGATGTTTATTTAAAAATATTTTTTCCTTTTTATAGGTCACAGAACTATACAACGATGGTAAAGTTAGTAAGCAAATGCTTTCTTTGGCTCGAGGTCCTGAAAGGCGAGTAACTTATTATCTTGGTTATTATATCAGTGGTTTTAGATTTCATACATTGCAGTGTGATGAGAATAAAAAAACACAAAATAGTGGACTTATGGTTAAGGGAGAGAATTAGATTAACAATGTGCCTTGGTATGGAACCTTAGTAGATATTGTTGAGCTCCGTTACACAGAAGGAAATAAAGTTGTATTGTTAATTGTGATTGGTATGACACAACACGAAAAGGAACAGGTTACAAGATAGATCGTTATGGAATAATCACTGTTAATACTGCACACAAGCTAAATACTCAAGAGTCATTCGTACTAGCAACCCAAGCAACCCAAGTTTTTTATGTGAAGGGGGTTAAAAATAAAATTTGGAGTTTTGTAGTGGAAACAAATCCAAGAAATGCTTATGAGATGACTAATGATGAGATTGAGCCATATACCAAGAAGCAGAGACTCAAAGTCAAAGCATGCATGTCATCCAAAATGATGTTGAAGACAATGAAATTGATTGGAAGAAGGGATGTGATTCAACTTACAACTATGGGATGAGTTGTTATGTAATTGTGATTGTCTTTTTTTTTTTTGTAATCATCTATTTTTTTTAATTGGCTATTTTTAGTTATTTATTTTGGAGTGTGATTGGTTATTATCAATCAAATTTTTTTTACTTATTATAATGGGAAATTGACATTCAAATGTTTTTCCTAGAGGACATATTTCTCCTCGAAAATAATCAAACAATTCAGACGAAAGGAGAATCCCTCGGAAATATTCAAGCAATTCCGACGGAATAAGAAGCCCCTCGGAAATAGTCAATCAGTTCCGATGGAATGGGAAAGCCTTCGGAAATAATCATCTTATTTCCATCAAACATACTTTTGGTTGTTCATAAAGTTGGCGCCAAGTCTTCCCGCCAAATAAATTACATTTCTGACGATAATCGAGACTTTTTCCTAGGGTATTTCCTTTGTCGGAAATAAATTTCAAGCTCGTGACATATTTCCAACGGACAACATTTTTTGGTTGGAAAAAACACTACTACCGAGGGAATTTCGGGGCCCTTGGAAAATGTTGGTCGGTAATGACCCTTATTTTTGTAGTGTGGTTTGATAATCTCTTTGGAGATTACTTCCACTTCAACATTCATTTTTCTCTCTAATATGTTTTTTGTTCTCACTTCTGTGTGGTTGTTATACTTTGCATGACCTACTGTAATTGAATTTATACAGGCAATAGACTGACAGAGAAGTCTTTGTTTAAGGATCTTATCACCACTACTAGTGCAAACAATTTGAACACTTGTGAAAACAATTTCAATATTGGCTAATGAGTATGAATTAAATATTCAGATGGATCCAAAAATTTATACAAATTTAAAAGAGTCGGCCACTATATAATATTTTAATATAATATATTTAATTATTTAATTATATATTATTTTTATTCAATAATATGTGAAAATTATGTGCATAATACGTGAATTTTGTGTGTATTATTGAAAATTTTATGAAAAAACATGTGTATTAAACATGAAAAATATGTACATACGTGTGTTGTATGTTTGCTTTTTTTTTTAAATGTGTATTTTACCGATTCTTTAAGACGTGTACGAAAAACGAAAGTATTATTGAAAAATACATACATACGTGTATAATACGAGTATTAAACGGGAAAAGACTAAATTCTTTATACTAGTAATAACTTTGAAAAAGTAAAAAATCAAAAGGGGACAATACAGACTCGGGTAATGGTCTAATAGTAATGGATAATGCTCTAAACTACTCTTATCGTAAACGAAAATTAGGGAAAAAAATTCGGAAAAAAAAGAATATAAGTAGTAGTTTAATTATCACAAAGTGTTGAAACGATTAGTTATATTATTGGGCAGCAATTAAGGATTAAATCATTACACATGGGACACGTACGTACCCAAAAATATATATGTGCAAATGGGATTGCCTAATAGTATAGAATTGACCTTTGAGGATTTTAAATAGAGCCCATGCGTTGCGTGGGAAAAATATAATCTTTATATATATTGTGATCCAGATCTTCTAAATCTTTATATATATATTCTTTGAATTTGCCCTTGAAAATGATAACGGGCCCTTAAGTTGTGAAAAAATGAGTTAATAAAGTATATTAAACTTACAAGTTACAACTGGATGATTCTCACTTATTGCGCCATCATGGGATTACTGATAAATAAGTATTTGTTTAAGGCTGGTGAATGATTAATAGGAGTTCAATAATCCTCCGCTGACCTGCAAACCATTAAAATATTGGGTAATGATGAGGAATTAAATAGGCACACCATCTGTGGGAATTTAAAAGTTTTCATCTCTCACATCACAATTCAAAAGTTTTTCAATGTCAAGTGGGTGGTAGCACAACTCAACAACAACAAATCCTTCTTTGTTGCTAGACCAATTTATAAACTCAACTATATCTTTCTTGCAGACTATGAATAATCTTAACTGATTGTTTCCAAGCAGTCAATATTAGAACCGCAGACGACATGTTTGGTCTATCACAGGCACGTCGTTGCACACATAACAGACCCACATGAAGACACATTAACATTTCGGATATGTTTTCTTATTGATAAGAAAAGCAATTACAAGGTTAGATAGCCCCAAATTAAAATTTAAGCCATATTATAGCCTCGACCTGAGTTTCGATGGTTTGATTTGAATTGGTTTCTTAATTATACTCGACCGATCTTGGAAGTGAAATTTCTCAACCTGGTTAAATCGGGCTGGTTGATGAGCTAAACTTGAAACGGCAGTATCAAACCTGCCCGTGCAGACCCATCTTTGAAGGAAGGGGTCACTTTCGAATTTAGCCATGACATGCTGATCCGCCAGGGTAACGTATGCCTCTATTCCGCCAGTCTCTTTGGTGTCGACGAAAACTATTAGGTTGTTCAAGGGTAGTGGCTGTATGCCCACCCATGCCGGTCTCCCCCAACCAAAATCCATATCATAGAGGGGAAATCTGCACAAACTACTGAAGTAAGACGTAACTACCTTCCCTCCAGATCTAATAGAACTTTGAGCAAGTCGGTTCATGAATTTGAAGTGCTCATCACCCTGTTGTAGCCTTTTCACGTAGTCCTTGTCAATCTTACTTATTTCTTCTCGTACTCGCCTCACCATGCCATGACAAGATTCTTCATCTTCATCATCATAATCATCATCCCCACTACTGCTAATCATGAAAAAATGACAAATATTTCCAAATGAATTTTGCGGCAATGGTGGATCAATCCTGGGGCGCAGGTTCACAGTCTGGATCACCATATGCAACTTATTCTCATCATCAATATTTTGATCAGGATCACCCTTGGTAGCTTCCACAAATCTCCTCCATATGAAAGCTGATAAGGTCTCAACGCGTGATGGGCGTCTCTCATTGTTTTCCAAGCCTGTATATTTTTGTCTGAGATCCTCTATCGCAGAGGCATCGAACATGAACCTCTTTGTTACTTTGTTCTTGGTGATACCGGCGTGCGAGTAATACCCATTCATCTCCTTGGGTGGGAAGAGTGTGGCTGAAACAAACTCCGGATGCTCTACTTTGGCTTCAAAATTATCATTTTCTCCGCAGGAAATGGCAGCCCAAGTTTTGGTGAGCATGAGCATAGATAGTCCATCTGCGAGCTTGTGGGAAACGCTTAGACCAATGGCAAAGCCTCCACATTCAAACATGTTGAGCTGGACACCTAGGGCAAATTCATTATGATCATGTGGCTCAAAGGGGACAAATTTCTGGAGGTCATCAGGGACCGGATCATTGAGAAAATCACAAAGCTGGCAGTTGGGTTTTACTTGACCTTCAAGGTAGGGTATTCCCTCGTCATTGCAGTCTACAAAATGGTTCTCGACTCTGAGTCGGCCGGCTAGTGGGTAGAAAAGGGTTAAGACCTCGGATAAGGACTTCTTAAGGTGTTTTGATATTTCAGTAATGGTGGGCGGGGTCTTGCCATTGAATTCATAGAAGAGGACCAAGGAGGTATAAATTGGGGGATTTATTTGATCAAGAAAGGAAAACTGATGACGTCGAAGATGTTTAGGGGTTGGAGAAGATGGTTTGATGATCTCCTTGGAGATTATTTCCACTTCAACCTTCATTATCTCTGGCTAATGTATTTGGTTTGATTGTGGTTCTCACTTCTGTGTATCGTCATGGGATTTATCCAAGTATTTTTTTAATGTAGCTAGAGGCGGATAAATTATTAATAATAATTCAATAAGTGGCCACTATTAAGATAATTATATTATCGGCCATTTGTGAGAATTAAAATAAAACAAATAATAAAGTCAATGAGGTCTAGTCTAGTGGAAAATAGCATTGATTTGCAGATTAGTGGTCTCAGGTTCGAACCCTCACGGCACCTTAGTAGTGTGCGTGTGTGAAACCCCCTTCTCATGTAGTTTGGACTATTGCTTGTACTAAATGCCCATGTTTTGCGTGGGAATATGAACTTTATATATAATGTGACCCTAATTTTTTTTATCGAAACTTCTGTGTGGTTGTTATACTTTGCATGCCCTACTGACAGAGAAGTCTTTGTTTAAGGATCTTATCACCACCACTAGTGCAAACAATTTGAACACTAGTGAAAACAATTTAAATATTGGCTAATGATTATGAATTATATATTCAGATGGATCCAAAAATTAATGCAAATTTAAATGGGGTTGGGCTTGCCCAATAAAAAGAGTCAGCCAAGCCTCTATGCCATCCTCTTGTCTTCTATCGGGATAGCTCGATAGAATCTTCAAGGGTAAGGTCCAAGTATATATTAAAAACGTATAGCCGCGCGGCTACACTATTTATTAAAAAAAAAAACCAAGTATAGCCGCTCGGCTATACTCTTAATTTAAAAAAAATAAAAAACCCTACCTATACTCGTTTAATATATTATATTTTCACAGTATAGCGCGGTTATACTCGTTTAATATATTATATTTTCAAAGGATAGCCGCGCGGCTATACTATTTTATTTTTATTTTTTAAAAGAAGGCTGCCGAAGCATTTTTGAAATTTTGTGGCCTACTTCCATTAGTTTATAATTTATAGTTATTAATTTACTAGTTTCAACATATCAAAAACATATATTGAAAAGAGAGAAATTTATAGTTATTAATTTACTAGTTTCAACATATCAAAAACATATATTGAAAAGAGAGAAATTTATAGTTATTAATTTGCTAGTTTCAATATGGAATGTTTGCCTTTGATTTATCTCGTTCTCTTGAATGCTACTAAATAATGTTATCGCAACCATTATTTAACTAAAACAATTTTTTCTTCTTTAACTAAAACAATATAAAATAAAATTTAAAAAAAAACTCAGGAATCAACCAATCATTGGCACCAGTTGCTCCCCATTCACGCGATTTTATATTAACAAAAACGATAAGTCTGCCATAAAAATGCGAATCTAAACAAGTTTGATGGCTCTTACCTTCCCTAGGGGAACAAAATAGAGCTAAGTACCAATATAGCCTATAGCTCCTCCAATTTTCTTCCACAGCCCAGACAACCCAGAATTTTTTTGTTTGTGCTTCCAAATTAAATTATAACTCAAAAACATGTGTGTTGCATAATATGAATAATCTTGAATCATTGTTTCCCAGCTAAGCCTACAAGGTTCAAATCAAGCTTACATGGCAAACCCATTTTGGTGACAGGAGCATTAACATGCATCAGAAAGATTGATGATCATCTACCGACCCTCTAACAATGTAGTGCTGAAATTATTTTCTGACAAATCACGTGCCCTTGACAGATCATCAGGGAGAGTTCGTTCGGTGTAAAAACCAGGCTGCTTTGGTGGACGCAATGCAACCTCACTGCTCAGCATTAGAACCACAGATGACGTGCTGGGTCTATCTTCAGGTACTTGTTGCACGCATAACAGAGCCACATGAAGACACCGTAACACTTCGGATATGGTGCACGAATCGCTTAGCAACTTATCGATCAGTTCCAGTGGCATATTTTGGATCCATAGTGTCCAAGCCTAAAACAAATTAATACATGTGTTAGTAGGTTGGATTTCATGTCCCTATCCCTCCATGTACACAACAAATGGAGAATTGTTACTTGCATACCCGATATACTAGTATACTTTAAATGGCAGGCCATTTGAGGAGGTGTTTTGAGGATTGCACCATCAAAATAAAATAGTTTCTGTACTTACATGTCGAAGAAGGTTAAGATGGTGATCTGGATGCCAAAATCCTCTGTTCTTCTGCCTACTCAGTATCTCTAGCAGTACAACACCAAAGCTAAATACATCTGATTTCGTCGAGAAAATTCCATCTACTGCATATTCAGGAGGCATATAGCCACTGGGGAATGAAATTGCAGTGAGAAAGAATTTCAAATGCAGTAGAGCGCAAAATTCAACCATAAAATAAGTTTTAGCAAACTTACTATGTTCCAACAACTCTATTAGTATTGGCTTGACTTTGATCGCCACCAAATATTTTGGCCAGGCCAAAGTCAGAAATCTTTGGGTTCATATTATCATCAAGCAAAATATTGCTAGCTTTCAGATCTCTATGGATAATCCTTCATCTAGAGTCTTGGTGAAGATAAAGAAGTCCTCGAGCAATTCCATCAATAATGTGGAAGCACTTAGGCCAGTCGAGCAATTTCGCTCTTTCCTGGTCTGAAAAAATTTGAAGAATGTTAATTAGTTCAGTGCCACATTGAATTTCAGTAAAATAAGTATATAAGGGGAGGATGATATGATTCAAAATCTATCTGGTTCAATTGGGAGAGGAACATACCAAAAATAAAGAAATCCAAGCTTCTGTTGGCCATGAATTCATATATTAAGATTTTTTCATCATCTTGAGTGCAACAACCAAGAAGCTTTACAAGATTGCAGTGCTGAAGTTTGGCTATCAATATAACTTCATTTTTGAACTCCCTCATTCCTTGTCCAGAATCCTTTGAAAGCCTCTTTACTGCAATTTCATTCCCTCCTATCAATGTACCTTATGGATTGGATCATCATTTAGAAAAGTCAAAAGTTTTGTTTTACAAAATAGCTCAACTTTACACCCAAAAATAATCCAAATTTTAGTTAAATTAATTTATCTTACCTGGTATACGGGTCCAAACCCGCCTTCTCCCAGCTTGTTTCTGCTTGAAAAGCTGTTGGTGGCATGAACTATCGTGTTCAAGTCATATAATGGCAACTCCATGTCTTCCCGGTCTTCTCCAAGGTAATCCTTTCTTCTGGCTACTGAAACAGTAGGAGATCTCTTCAGCAAGATGTGGACAGTTGCACTTATGAAATTAATGCTAACCCCTATCTAATGAATTTTTCATAGTAAAGGTTCTTTTAATTTCATTTTTTGTGCCAGAATCTTGCAGTCATCTATTTAACATGATCAATTCCTTGTCTGAGAAATTTACCTTGATTTCTCAGTTTCTTCTTTCGTATATACAAGATAAACCCCACTATTAGCATTCCCACTAGAAAAAGTAAGGAGCTGATTACAATTCCAGCTTGTGTTTTCTTGTTGAACTTCCTCTTTTTCTCAATATCATCTGAAAGATCACAAGTGTAATATAATAAGCATGTCATTTGGAGAGCAAACTTTCATGTTGCACTTATTTTAGCATGCATTGCATAACTGTAGATTAAGCACCATGGCCAACAGCAGAGACAGCCAAACAACACTTTTGGTTTTCATGGTATTACTTTTGGGTAGAAGAACAAGTATCTGTTCCTCATTATGGGCCGGATCTAGGAAATGCTCTAGTTTTACCGAATTTCTAATAACTACTGCCTCTCAACAACACCACCACAAACCCCCCCCCCCCCCCCCCCCCCCCCTTGGAAGGTTCTTATGTCAGTGAGGTCTCCAAACCAAAGCAAGCAGCCACTTCCTCCATCCCTGATATCTAAATTTGCATATGACGTACATGAGCAGTTTTCCAAACATAATCCCTTGCATTCCTTGAGGCTCTTCCTCTTATCAAACCACGAGGAAGATGTGTCCGGCAATTTAAAGCTAGTGTATTTAAAGAAGCCATCATTATAGCTGCAAGATAATGGAGTATTTCGAATACACCCATCAGACCAATTCTGTGAATTCCATTGTTCTGGCGATTTTGGTATAAATCCCTTCAGGCATGTACATACGGGAGCATTACCGATGTTGCAGCTAGAATATGAACCACAGAAAGCATAAATTTCACACTGGTCTTGTTGGGTTGAAAAGAATGGTTCCCAACTATGTGTGTTTTCAATCCATGTGAACCACAGTGCAATGCCAAATGGGTTCAATGTATATCGTGAGGGCATAGACTTGTTTAGGAGTCTGTACTCATAATAAACCTCATCCTTATTCAAGAAAAATTCAAACTCAGATAGTGGGTTTGGTCGACTGATAGATCCTGTTAATCGAAGGCCGTTCCATGAACCTGATCTAGTTTGTATCTTAGCTCCCTTCATAACAACAAGTTGTGGTAAACCATGAGGAGTCATCCCTAGTGAAAACTCTCCTCGAGCAGGATTTTCTGTGCTCTTCCAAGACGAAACATACCTTTCAAAACCAGTAATGAAGTCCCATCCAAGCTTCATTTCTGGTAGGAATGTATCACAAGGATAATCAAAACTCTGCCACAGGAAGTTATCAGGGTTAGTTTCGTCTGCATCTTTCACAACAAGATTTCCCGAATCCAACAGTTGTAATACTGGATTATCTGCAGTTTTTGATGAGTTGGATGACCATACAATGCCGTTTGAGCTATTGAGAAGGACTAGAACTCCTTGATCAGTGACCTTTAAAACTCCTGAAGAATCATCAAGTGGTGTTTCTCTGTTGGCTACCCATACAACTATCTCTTTAGAAATAGTGTACCATATCCCCAAGTATTGGCCTTTGACTTTACCAGGGCTGAAGAATCCCAGTTGAAAGGTTCCACCTGCTGAAACTAGAGTTTGATCGCCTCTAATATATTGATTTGGAGAGATAGTGTCTAGTGTATTTGTAGTGGAGGTTCTCACAAAGGAGAATAATAACGAGCACACAAAAAGGGTTCTCAAGGCAATATTCGGATCAGAATGCATAACTTTAGTGAACAAAAGCAATACATAACATACATGCAGAGAAGTTGGAAGAAGTAAAATGGAAGATCTCAAGCGTTCGATTGGCTATAAGCTTGTTTGGTCTCTATGGATACTATTTAAAAGTAAGCCTCAAAAGGCCCTATCCTCTCTGTCCAGCTTTACCTGGAGATGAACTTCTGTTTGCGTTCTACATATTAATACAACAGTCATTGAGGATACTTCAACCTGGTATATCTCAATTTTCTTAAATCTAATTGAAACTTAAGATGCAATATGTTAACTATTGACAACTATTAATATGATTATGGCTTTCTTCCTTCAACCTGTGTGTCAAGTTTCAGGGCTATTAAGTCTTTTGTTAGGCTTGGATTTCTTTAATGACAGGGCAACTTGGTTTAAAAAAACTTGGTCTCAGCAAAAGATACTCATAAATTAATACACATGTTGGTCACAAGAGGAAGACTCAGTGCAGTTGACAACCCATAAATTGACTAAAACAAAAGAAATAGATTGTCAAGAAGCCTTACCGAGCAAGAAAAAGACCTCTCCCCCAGCTTCCATGAAGCTTCACTTGTGTCTCTGAAAATCCAACGTCTTTCAGTAAATATATTGATCATTCCAACCTCTAACATCTAAGATCACCATCATGTCAGGTCCTTCAATGGCCCAATTCAAAGCCAGGATGAGTAAACGAGTCAGTCATGTTTGTGATTGCCAAGCAGAGACAAAACTTGAAATCGAAAATTCGATTAATGTTGAAAAATGAAAGCTTTTTCTTCGAAAACATTACTTCTAGAGCAGAAACTGTTGCATGACAGAGCAAGCAATCCACCTATGTTAAGCACAACCTTCACATGCATACTTGCTCTGCCCATAACAATTTCAGCTTTGGAAATAATGTTTCCAAGCAAGCTTTTGTTTTTCCCATCACAACCTTGTTCATATGAAAAAGATGAGCTTAGCAGTTAGCTGGTGTCATCAAAATCTGAAATTCAACTAAGCTAAATAAAGTCACAATAAAATTTCATCAGCATTCAAGTATATGTGTAATATACTAGTATCTACCAAGACTAAAATTTTGTCTACTAGACAAACCGTTGCTATGACTTTTGCATTTTCTGTATGTGAACAGCAATGACAAAGGGTCGCCATGTTTAATTCAACTTGCATATTCTTTTAGAAAGATACGAAAAAGACTCATTGGTTGACAAAACTGATCAAAACTTGAGCATATTCACACTGCATCATCAGTTCGTTTCTAATGTTTTTGCTTTGAACACACATGAAAAAGTCACATAAGTTTTTCTCTCACATTTTTCTGTCAACCAAGGAAACACAAATTCAGACCACATTGAAAACCTTATCAAATGGTTAAAAGAGTATTTATCCATGATTTAAAAGCTACCCATCAACATATCTCATCTCACCTGAGCCTTAGGTTCTTGTAATTTTACTGTAATTCCGAGAATTTGCGACGTGCCCGTCACGTGTTCGACCAAATTCCTGAACCAGACTGGCGAGCACGGACAACATGAATCCATAAAGCTTTACACTTTGAGCGCTGAGATCTGGTGTTCTACTTCTAGGGTTGGATTATTATGCCATATATAGCATCAATATATTTTTAATTGCATAGATTTTTTTAAAAAATATTTTTTCTTCTTTAATTAAGACTGTAAAATACTCGGGAATCAACCAATCATTGGCACCAGTTGCTCCCTATTGCAGGATTTTATATCAACAAAAACAATAAGTCTGTGCTATTTTTTAATTGCATAGATTATTTTTTTCTAAATAATACTCGGGAATCAACCAATCATTGGCACCAGTTGCTCCCCATTACAGGATTTTATATCAACAAAAACAATAAGTCTGTGCCATAAAAATACGAATCTAGACAAATTTTATGGCTGTTGACTTCTCTGGGGGAGCAAAACAGAGCTAAGAAAAATAACAGCAAGCCTATAGCTCCAAATTAACTTATAACTCAATAACATGTGTGTTGCTCAATATGAATAATCTTAAGTCAATGTTTCGCATCTAAGCCTACAAGGTTCAAGTCAAGCTTACATGGCAAACACATTTTGGTGATGGTACACAGGAGCATTAATAGGCACCAGAAAGATTGAAGATCATCTACCGAGCCTCTAACAATGTAGTGCTGAAATTATTTTCCGACGAATCACGCACCCTTGAAGGATCATCAGGTAGAGTTCGTTCAGTGTAAAAACCAGGCTGCTTTGGTGGAGGCAATGCAACCTCACTGCTCAGCATTAGAACCACAGATGACATGCTTGGTCTATCTTCAGGTACTTGTTGCACACATAACAGAGCCACTTGAAGACACCGTAACACTTCGGATATGGTGCACGAATCGCTTAGCGACTTATCAATCAGTTCCTGTGGAATATTTTGGATCCATAGTGTCCATGCCTAAAACATATTAAGACATATGTTATGTTAGCAGGTTAGGTTTCATGTCCCTATCCCTCTATGTACATAACAAAAGGAGAATTGTTACTTACATACCCTCTATAATAGTATACTTTAATTGGCAGGACATTGGAGGAGGTACTTAAGACGATTGCACCATCAAAATAAAATAGTTTTTGTACTTACATGTCCAAGAAGGTTAAGATGGTGATCTGGATGCCAAAATCCCCTGTTCTTCTGCCTACTCAATATCTCTAACAGTACAACACCAAAGCTAAATACATCTGATTTCGTCGAGAAAATTCCATCTACTGCATATTCAGGGGGCATATAGCCACTGGGAAATGAAATTGCAGTAAGAAAGAATTTCAGAAACAGCAGAATGAAAAATTCAACCATAAAATAAGTTCAAGCCTTACTATGTTCCAACCACTCTTTTTGTATTACCCCGACTTTGATCGGCACCAAATATTCTGGCCAGGCCAAAGTCAGAAATCTTTGGGTTCATATCATTATCAAGCAAAATATTGCTAGCTTTCAGATCTCTATGGATAATCCTTAATCTAGAGTCTTGGTGAAGATAAAGAAGTCCTCGAGCAATTCCATCAATAATGTGGAAGCACTTAGGCCAGTCGAGCAATTTTGCTCTTTCCTGGTCTGAAATTTTTTTAAGCATGTTAATTAGTTCAGTACCACATTGAATTTCAGTAGAATAAGTATATAAGGGGAGGATGATATGATTCAAAAGCTATGTGGTTGAGTTAGGATAGGAACATACCAAAAATATAGAAATCCAAACTCCTGTTGGCCATGAATTCATATATTAAGATTTTTTCGTCATCTTGAGTGCAACAACCAAGAAGCTTTACAAGATTGCGGTGCTGAAGTTTGGCTATCAGTATAACTTCATTTTTGAACTCCCTCATTCCTTGTCCAGAATCCTTTGAAAGCCTCTTTACTGCAATTTCTTTCCCTCCTATCAATGTACCCTACGGAATGGATCATCATTCAGAAAAGCCAACTTGACACAAAAGTAATCTAGTTTTAGTTGAATTACTTTATCTTACCTGGTATACTGGTCCAAAACCACCTTCTCCCAGCTTGTTTCTGCTTGAAAAGCCATTAGTGGCATGAACTATTGTGTTGAAGTCAAATAGTGGCAACTCTCTGTCTTCCCGATCTTCTCCAAGGTCATCCTTTTTTCTGACTACTGAAACAGTAGGAGATCTCTTCAGCTAGATGTGGACAGTTGCACTGATGAAATTAATGTTAACCCCTATCTAATGAATTTTTTATAGTAAAAATACTTTTGATTTAGTGTTTTGTACCAGAATCTTGCAATTGTCTATTTAACATGATTAAGTCCAAGTCTGAGAAATTTACCTTGATTTCTGAGTTTCTTCTTTCGTATATACAAGATAAACCCCGCTATTAGCATTACCACTAGAAAAAGTACAGAGCTGATTACAATTCCAGCTTGCCTTTTCTTGTTGAACTTGCTCTTTTTCTCAACATCATCTGAAAGATCACAAGTGTAATATAATAAGCACGTCATTTGGAGAGCAATTTTTCATGTTGAAGTTAATTGAGATTCCAATATTACTTTTTTTTATAGATAAAACAATGGATTATGCCAGATTAGCTCGTGCACAAACATCCACAACCCTAAAAGAGGGGATCAACACATTCCTGGGGCCCCCGCCCGTCCCCTTGATCATAATTTCATTAATAGACAAGAAACAAAAAGAAAACAAGAATAGCAGGGGGAACTAACCAAAACCCTGCAGAAAAGAAAGACAGTGATACAAAGGCACATCAACATGCTGACCCAAGAAACCAAAACTCTGAAAGAGTAAACAAAAAGAGACTAAGTAAAATGGTAATTGGGCATGCCCAGCCAGTCCCGATGACAAAAAGACAAAATAAAAGAAGGTGCAGTGTCCAACCATGTGAAACCAGAGCCTAGTGCATCGTGATTATGGCCTACAGCTGAGACAACCAAACAACACTTCTGGTTTTCATGGTATTACTTTTGGGTAGAGGAACAAGTATCTGTCCATGATTATGGTCCGGATATAGAAAATCCTCTAGTTTTACCGACCTGCTTATAACTACTACCTCCTCAACCCCCTCCAAAAATAAAAAATAAAGACAAAAAAGAACTCATTTCCCCTGACCTAAGAAAATAAGTGATAATGTTATATATTATTGGAAAGAAGAACAAAAGTAAGATCAGACAAAATTCTAAAAGCTACCTAGTTCTGAAGAAGCCAGCCGTATATAGAGGTCTTGAGAATCAGATGGCAAGGCTCTTATGTCAATGAGGTTTCCAAACCAAAGCAAGCAGCCACTTCCTCCATCCCTGATATCTAAAGTTGCATATGCTGTACATGAGCAGTTTTCCAAACATAATCTCTTGCATTCCTTGAGGCTCATGCTCTTATCAAACCATGAGGAAGACGTGTCTGGCAATTTAAAGCTAGTGTATTTAAAGAACTTATCTTTATAGCTGCAAGCTAATGGAGTATTTCGAATACACCCATCAGACCAATTTTGTGAATTCCAATGTTCTGTCGATTTTGGTATAAATCCCTTCAAGCATGCACAAACGGGAGCATTACTGGTGTCGCATCTAGAATATGCACCACAGAAGGCATAAATTTCACACTCATCTTGTTGGGTTTGAAAGAAGGGTTCCCAACTATGTGTATTTTCAATCCATATGAACCACTGTGCAATGCCAGATGGGGTCAATACATATCTTGAGGGAATAGACCTGTTTAGGAGTCTGTACTCATAATAAACCTCATCCTTACTTAAGAAAAATTCAAACTGAGATGGGCTTGATCGTCTCATAGATCCTGTTAATTGAAGGCCGTTCCATGAACCTGATCTAGTCTGTATCTTAATTCCCTTCATAACAAAAAGTTGTGGTAAACCGTGAGGACTCATCCATAGGGAAAACTCTCCTCGAGCAGGATCTTCTGTGCTCTTCCAACACGAAACATACCTGTCTAAACCAGTAACGAAGTCCCAACCAAGCTTCATTTCTGGTAGGAATGTGTCACAAGGATAATCAAAACTCTGCCACAAGAAGTTATCAGGGTTAGTTTCGTTTGCATCTTTCACAACAAGATTTCCCGAATCCAATAGTTGTGATACTGGATTATCTACAGTTCTTGATGAGTTAGATGACCATACAATGCCGTTTGAGCTATTAAGAAGGACTAGAATTCCTTGATCAGTGACCTTCAAAACTCCTGAAGAATCATTAAGTGGTGTTTCTCGGTTGGCTACCCATACTACTATCTCATTAGAAATGGTGTACCATATCCCCAGGTATCGGCCTGTCAATTTACCAGGGCTGAAGAATCCCAGTTGAAAGGTTCCACCTGCTGAAACTAGAGTTTGATCATCTCTAATATATTGATTTGGAGAGATAGTGTCTAGTGTATTTGTAGTGGAGGTTCCCACGAAGGAGAATAATAACGAGCACATAAAAAGGGTTCTCAAGGCGATATTCTGATCAGACTGCATAACTTCAGTGAAAAAAAAGCAATACATAACATATATGCAGAGAAGTTGGAAGAAGTAAATTGGAAGATCTCAAGCGTTCGATCGGCTATATGCATTCTACATATTAATACGACAGTCATAGAGGATACTTCAACCTGGTATATGTCAATTTTCTTCAGTTCACAGAATGCTTCTATTATACAGTCTAGATTGCCAATCAAATTGAAATTTAAGATGCAATATGTCTACTATTGACAATTGTTAATATGATTATGGCTTTCTTCCTTCAACCTGTGTGTCAAGTTTCAGGGCTATTAAGTCTTTTGTTAGGCTTGGATTTCTTTAATGACAGGGCAACTTGGTTTAAAAAAACTTGGTCTCAGCAAAAGAAACTCATAAATTAATACACATTTTGGTCACAAGAGGAAGACTCAGTGAAGTTGACAACCCATAAATTGACTAAAACAAAAGAAATAGATTACCGAGCAAGAAAAAGATCTCATTGGTTGACAAAACTGACTCATTGGTTGACAAAACTGATCAAAACTTGAACATATTCACACTGCAACATCAGTTCGTTTCTAATGTTTTTGCTTTGAACACACATAAAAAAGTCACATAAGTTTTTCTCTCACATTTTTCTGTCAACCAAGGAAATGTAAATTCAGACCACATTGAAAACCTTATCAAATGGTTAAAAGAGTATTTATCCATGATTTAAAAGCTACCCATCAACATCTCTCATCTCACCTGAGCCTTAGGTTCTTGTAATTTTACTGTAATTCCGAGAATTTGCGACGTGCCCGTCACGTGTTCGACCAAATTCCTGAACCAGACTGGCGAGCACGGACAACATGAATCCATAAAGCTTTACACTTTGAGCGCTGAGATCTGGTGTTCTACTTCTAGGGTTGGATTATTATGCCATATATAGCATCAATATATTTTTAATTGCATAGATTTTTTAAAAAAATATTTTTTCTTCTTTAATTAAGACTGTAAAATACTCGGGAATCAACCAATCATTGGCACCAGTTGCTCCCCATTACAGGATTTTATATCAACAAAAACAATAAGTCTGTGCCATAAAAATACGAATCTAGACAAATTTTATGGCTGTTGACTTCTCTGGGGGAGCAAAACAGAGCTAAGAAAAATAACAGCAAGCCTATAGCTCCAAATTAACTTATAACTCAATAACATGTGTGTTGCTCAATATGAATAATCTTAAGTCAATGTTTCCCAGCTAAGCCTACAAGGTTCAGGTCAAGCTTACATGCCAAACACATTTTTTTGACGGTTCACAGGAGCATGAATAGGCACCAGAAAGATTGAAGATCATCTACCGAGCCTCTAACAATGTAGTGCTGAAATTATTTTCCGATGAATCATCCCAAACGTTTTTGTTTGTGCCGTAGGAACTGCTCCAAATTAACTTATAACTCAATAACATGTGTGTTGCTCAATATGAATAATCTTAAGTCAATGTTTCCCAGCTAAGCCTACAAGGTTCAGGTCAAGCTTACATGCCAAACACATTTTTTTGACGGTTCACAGGAGCATGAATAGGCACCAGAAAGATTGAAGATCATCTACCGAGCCTCTAACAATGTAGTGCTGAAATTATTTTCCGATGAATCACGCACCCTTGAAGGATCATCAGGTAGAGTTCGTTCGGTGTAAAAACCAGGCTGCTTTGGTGGAGGCAATGCAACCTCACTGCTCAGCATTAGAACCACAGATGACATGCTTGGTCTATCTTCAGGTACTTGTTGCACGCATAACAGAGCCACATGAAGACACCGTAACACTTCGGATATGGTGCACGAATCGCTTAGTGACTTATCAATCAGTTCCTGTGGAATATTTTGGATCCATAGTGTCCATGCCTAAAACATATTAAGACATTTGTTATGTTAGCAGGTTAGGTTTCATGTCCCCGTCCCTCTATGTACATAACAAAAGGAGAATTGTTACTTGCATACCCTCTATAATAGTATGCTTTAATTAGCAGGCCATTGGAGGAGGTACTTAGAGGATTGAACCATCAAAATAAAATAGTTTTTGTACTTACATGTCCAAGAAGGTTAAGATGGTGATCTGGATGCCAAAATCCCCTGTTCTTCTGCCTACTCAATATCTCTAACAGTACAACACCAAAGCTAAATACATCTGATTTTGTCGAGAAAACTCCATCTACTGCATATTCAGGGGGCATATAGCCACTGGGAAATGAAATTGCAGTAAGAATTTCAGAAACAGTAGAACGAAAAATTCAACCATAAAATAAGTTCAAGCCTTACTTACTATGTTCCAACCACTCTTTTTGTATTACCCCGACTTTGATCGGCACCAAATATTCTGGCCAGGCCAAAGTCAGAAATCTTTGGGTTCATATCATTATCAAGCAAAATATTGCTAGCTTTCAGATCTCTATGGATAATCCTTAATCTAGAGTCTTGGTGAAGATAAAGAAGTCCTCGAGCAATTCCATCAATAATGCTGAAGCACTTAGGCCAGGTAAGCAATTTCGCTCTTTCCTGGTCTGAAATTTTTTTAAGCATGTTAATTAGTTCATTACCACATTGAATTTCAGTAGAATAAGTTTATAGGGAGAGGATAATATGATTCAAAAGCTATATGGTTGAGTTGGGAGAGGAACATACCAAAAATATAGAAATCCAAGCTTCTGTTGGCCATGAATTCATATATTAAGATGTTTTCGTCGTCTTGAGTGCAACAACCAAGAAGCTTTACAAGATTGCGGTGCTGAAGTTTGGCTATCAATATAACTTCATTTTTGAACTCCCTCATTCCTTGTCCAGAATCCTTTGAAAGCCTCTTTACTGCAATTTCGTTCCCTCCTATCAATGTACCCTATGGATTGGATCATCATTTAGAAATTCGAAAGTTTTGTTTTACAAAATAGCTCAACTTTACACCCAAAAATAATCCAAATTTTAGTTAAATTAATTTATCTTACCTGGTATACGGGTCCAAACCCGCCTTCTCCCAGCTTGTTTCTGCTTGAAAAGCCGTTGGTGGCATGAACTATCGTGTTCAAGTCATATAGTGGCAACTCCATGTCTTCCCGGTCTTCTCCAAGGTAATCCTTTCTTCTGGCTACTGAAACAGTAGGAGATCTCTTCAGCAAGATGTGGACAGTTGCACTTATGAAATTAATGCTAACCCCTATCGAATGAATTTTTCATAGTAAAAATACTTTTAATTTCATTTTTTGTGCCAGAATCTTGCAGTCATCTATTTAACATGATCAAGTCCTTGTCTGAGAAATTTACCTTGATTTCTGAGTTTCTTCTTTCGTATATACAAGATAAACCCCACTATTAGCATTCCCACTAGAAAAAGTAAGGAGCTGATTACAATTCCAGCTTGTGTTTTCTTGTTGAACTTCCTCTTTTTCTCAATATCATCTGAAAGATCACAAGTGTAATATAATAAGCATGTCATTTGGAGAGAAAACTTTCATGTTGCACTTATTTTAGCATGCATTGCATAACTGTAGATTAAGCACCATGGCCAACAGCAGAGACAGCCAAACAACACTT